GGACAAGGCGAGATAGGCACGGATAGCCTCCTCGATCTTAAAAGTACCGCCAGACCGCCATGCACGGAGTGCTCAAAATGCACGACGAGGTTTCATTTCCGTCGTGTCCGCCGTGCGACGCGAAAGAAGCTTGCGAACCTCCTCCGCCACTTCGAACATAAGATCTTTCAGGCGAGCGAGCTTATCCCACGGGCTGAGATCCTGGATGGCCGAAGACGCTTGGTCCAGGAGCGAACCGAACAGTTCGTGCCGGACAAGCCACGGAGGTAAGCGACGGGGCGCCTCTTGAGGCGAAAACCTGGAGATACAAATAACCACAGGAAGATGATCCGACACCATATCATATTGTAAACGACCAAGAACCATGCCACGAATGGTGAGGTCGGCGAGCAACGGGGCAGGGAGCGTGCAGTACGCTCGGTCCAGTCTGGCAGTGTGTGCAATCGTACCATCCCGTGCTTCTCTCCTGGTGTCTTCCAACAGGTAAAGCTCCGCCCATTTCCCACATCGCTGAGCAAAGAGTGCCGAATTGGACTTGTCGCCTCTCGTCCATTCAGCGCCGTCGGCAGGAGAGCGGCCTTCCATCGCAAGAGCAGGATTCCAATCACCAGTCAGCACTGCCATGGAGTCGGTGTTCGACGGAAGAGCTTGCAATATGAGACCTAAAGCACGGCGGTATACAGCAATCGTTCCATTCGCGTTGGGCATATGGACGTTCACAATCGTTGATGAGCCCGAAGAGCCAGTAAGATGGATAAGGAGAACATGACCTTCGATGCCAGGTGAATGCGCGCACGATGAAAAGAAACGGAGAAGACGAGGATGAACACAAGTGAGGACACCACCAGCGTTGATAGCGTCGGAGATCAGGGAATGACCGATATCATAACCACGTATTTATTAAGTTCCGTAATGTCCGCAATCTGTCCATGACATATCTGCGCGCAAAAGATATCAAGATCCTGAGCGTACTTGAGAAATATGGTATATCGAATTGGCGCGTTCGCGCTTTGACTCCGTGCAGCAGCAAAGAGAGCGCGAGCATTCCATGATCCGATCTTGAGGGGGGGGGAGGAAGGGCCGGGACCCGACAGCCTTAACAGAGGCCTGGCTCGTTGCATTCGAATTCGACGAAATTCGCCGAGAAGAGGCAACACCCGCAGCCAAAGGCATATCTGCAGATGCGAAGCGTGCATATTCGAAAAGAGGCAAGCAGAGAGACGAAGCAGAACGGGAGAGCACGCGCTCGCTGCTTCGGCGCACGGTGAGACCATGCGAGAGGAGGCAGCACCCGCAGCCACGTGCTCTTCAGGGAACCGCTCAACAGGGAGCTCCTTCGTTCAAATGCTCAACACCTTGCGTAAGAGGCTCGACCAATGGTGAGAGGACCGCATGAAACTCTGCAACATGCTCTGTGCACAGCGTAATGCTGACCTGAGGGCGAGTGGCGTCAGAGACAAGAGCAAGGTGACACACCAGAACCAGATCTTCTGGATTACGCAACACAAAGACGCCCCCTCCGAACCCATTCGGGCCCGTCTCCTTGTTAAGTCCACGAACGGCGGACGAGATCGCTGCCCTCACCTTGCCCATGGCGAGAAAGAGAAGACAAGTGCCAGACTCCATATCACGTTTGGCTCTGAGCGAAAAGTATTGGCCAGGACAGACAGGGTCTGGAAACTGAAGAGGCTGGTGGCCAGATATTTTCGAGAGGAAGTCCGTCGCCTGGGAGCCGTTATGAAAGTCAAGCGTTACTTTTTTAGTCATGTCACAGGCGTTGATGGTCGGGGCGGGGCGGCCAGATGGGATCCCAGTGGCCACGAAAGCCTCTGCAGCACGCCTTAACGATGATTGCATCAACTTCTGAGTAAAACCAACAATGACAACCCTGCGTGCACGTTCGAGGGCGGAGAGGCGAGAGCCCGCCCGCAGAAGCGAGGACCCAGTAGATAGCACGGACGAGGTAGAGCCAGCAGTTGATAGAACTGGCGGTGGCACCGTAATCTTGCGGAGCTGCTCCTCGATGTCTTGAATGCGCTTTTGTACACCTATCGGTGAATGAGAGGGGATGCTCGAAGAGTCGTCCACGTCGTTCGGCGTCGGGGTCGATTCAATTGCTCACAAGCGTGAATTGACTGATGAAACGCACCAGGGAGATCAGGGAACTTGGGCTTGGCCTTGCTCAGTCGATTATCATGTTTTTCGCACGTTCTGCGTCTCAATCCGTCATTTTGTTCCCCAGCTTTACCCGCCATCCGATGAACTCCTCCGCTCGTATAGTTGTTGTGTGCAGTTGCTCACGGCGGGCCCGAACAATGCGCTGTCCTACACCATTTGCACGCATCTCTCGCCCCTTGGCATTCCGATGGGGTACCCGTGTTTGTCATTCGTTTTCGCGGCGACTCGCGCGAGGTTCTTTGCCCGATGCGACGAACTCCCCAGTTTACGTGACCAGTACACTGCGATATCTGAAGACGATGATTGGTGCCAGACTCGCCGTGTATGCGGCCGTGTTCCTATCTCAGTCATGATTAAGTTTTTCGAGCTTCAAGATTGGATCGCCGCGAAGAACTTGAGTATCCAATTCGAAAGAGCGGATGTGCAAAAACAATATATGGAGAAGCTACGCGTTTTTATCTTCCCGCAGTCTCCCTTGTGATGGCCCTTCTTCGACGGGTGCGGAACTGGCTTCCTGGGGTACGTTTCGTGGATCTTGCGCGGGTTCTCAGATGCATCAAGCCTGTGGCGGCGCGCACCAACATGTACCTTCCACGAGCTATCCTCCGCATGTTGACCAGATGCGTTTGCACGAGCGCCCGGTTTCATTCTGCCCCCAGAGGTTGTATGATGGGTTGCTGCTCCGAGACTTACGATCTAGATGACCTGAAACACTGCCGGTATTGTCTTCGTCTTCGGTTTTTTTTGAATTCTTGGATGGGGACGTGGACCCCGAGGTCTTCTGAGGGTGCGCCCCGGATGGCCTCCTACCTCCTTTTTTCATGGGGTGGGACCCGACCGGTGCCTGCTCGTTGCGATGTTATGCGATGCTTTCCTTCGTTTCCACCACGCCTTCTGCCTCCATCCCCTTGGGAGCCCAGAGCAGCATTTCGAAGCGCGCCTCCGAGTTCAAGCGAGGAGACATCAAGCGTGTCGCAGACTCTGGGGCCTGCACCAGCTTGCTTTCTTTCGTTGATGTCTTACGTTTCACGGTTAAAACAATTGTTGTTTGCGTCTGTCTGTCTGTGGGGGCAGGATTTGTCCGCCCTGGCCAGCGCGTGTTGCAGGCAACGTGGTTGAATCAATCGGTGCCGCGATGGAAAACTGTATTTCTGCTACGCGGATAATTGAAATCTGCGAAGCCCTTGCACATGTTCAATACGAATGTGCGTGGCACTGAAGCGAGACACGGATGTGCGCGGCGCTAAGAGGAGAGCCACATATACATACACATATGTATAGATATGTATATATACACATATACATATACCGCCCGCCCTCAATACATATAAATGTTTATATACATGATTATATGTACATACATATGTTTATAAATATAGATATGTATATAGTTTTCGATGTTTGGAAAATTGTGCGTGGTGTTTGTGTGTAGTGTGTGTTGGTTGTTTGCTGTTTTTTCTCTAATCGAGCTGTCAAGCACTGCGCCCTCGTCTGGGACTTCATGACCATGTAAGGAAGGCGGGGGCCACAGTTTGGAAACGACCCGCCCTCAATCCGTACAATTCTTGCAAATGTTCTAAAGCCAAAGCACGCGCCGCTCAGGCGAGAACCACATTTTGAAAATGACCCGCCCTAAATCCGTGAAGCTCTTGCACATGTTGAAAACGAATGTACGCGGCGCTCAGACGAGAGCCACAGTTTGAAGACGACCCTCCCTCAATCCGTGAAGGCCTTGCAAATGTTGAAGACGAATGCGCGCGGCGCAAAGTCGAGAGCCACAGTTTGAAAACCACCCGTCCTCCATCTTGGAAGCTGTTGTCAATGTTCAAGCTTCTGGATCATAGATGGTGAGGACGTCTCAGGCGGAACGCCCGGCCCGCCCTAAAAACTGGACTCGGGGTGCGACAGGGAGAAGTTAAGTATATGGAAAAGGAATGGAGGAGGAGAGGGGAAATGTGGAGGAGGCGGAAGGCGAGGGAGGAGGAGGAGGAGAAGATGGAGGATGAGGAGGCGGAGGAGGAGGAGGAGGAGGAGGAGGAGGAGTAGGGCGAGTTGAGTTGTCCCGTTCTGATCCGTCGCGCGGTTGTCTTCGGTTGGCCCGTAGACCTCTCATGGGCAAGCCTCGATTTTCTTGCTTGGGTCCTCCTTGGGCACATCTGGCTTCCTTTTAGGCTCTTCAAAGGGCCCTCCTTGGAATCATTTCCACCCGAAGAGGCCCGGGAAGCACCTTGGGAATTCCTCCGTCGGGTGCTTGAGTGATGCTTGCTTTCCTGGAAGGCCTCTTGGCCTTCTCTCTGGTGCCCACTGGTGCCTCTTTGGTCCCTCTTGGGGCCTTCTTGGGAGCGAGACGTCGGGCCACCTGGGGTTTGCATGGGTGGTCCGACTTGGGCCATCTTGCCAGCCTCGGAGGACTTGGGGAGCCCCGGTGCGGCGTCGGGCCGCCGGGGGGGGAGGCTTGGGAGAGGCGGGGTGTGTGCACGCACGGAGTGTGATGAGAAAGGCAGGGCCCCTTTCGATCGGTCCGATCTGATATCGATTTCGGCCGTCTCGATCCGACTCGATTTCGATCTTCCAGTGATCAGATGCTGCCCAATGCTGGCATGGCGTTGCTGACCGTCCAGGCGAGGCTGATCCGATTCGAGTGCGACTCCGAGCCGATGCAGCCCGATTCGACGCACATGCCGATCTGATCCTATTTCTCGATTCGACGTTCAGTCATCCTGGAGGGAAGGGAGCCCTTTGAAGTCTTGCTGGGGTCCTACCAGACAGTCAGTGTCATTATGCTGCGCCTGGACGTGACACGGGGCACGGTGGCGGATGAGAACTACTACAGGTCCATGGGGACGTTCCTGATCGCGGGCCTCACCGGCAACGAGGCGATGCGTCAATGGTTCGAAAATTTGCCCGCCGGGCCTTCGGCCAAGGTGAAGCACGGCCCAGGCCCGAATACAACCTTGTACATGGGTTGGCAGGATGTTAAGGACAGGCTCGCGTCTGTTGGGAATAAGTTTGTCGCCAAGACAGCCCAGCGACAAAACGAGCTTGGTATCCAGATTCAGAATGGAGCGGTGTGGCCAAACGCACCCGGCGGCGAGAAGACAATCTTCCTTGGGTCCAATTTTGATAACCATGCATTCGTGCGGCCGTTTCTCGCTCAGGTGCTCGACCATGCCGAGGGTACGGGCTCGTGCGACGGGTCCACTTGTTGGAATCGCAATTGGCTCAAAACGCAGGCGAAAACTTGGTTGACCGGGCGCTATGTGATCGAAAGCTCAGACTTCAAGTGGTTTGTGACGAAAATCTTGCATAAGGTCCACATGAACATCGATCTAACCGATGCCGAGGCGCAGGATTTCGCGGACTACATGGGCAAGGTCATCTTGCCAGTTCCCTTCCCAGAGGAAGTTGCGAGGAGTGGCCCGCTACAGAGGGTCCTCGGCATCCCAGAAACGCTGAGCAGGCGCAGTGCCATCTTGGCGAAATACCGTGGCGCCATCCAAGCCAAGTTCCCGTCCCGGAGCTTCACTTTCGGAGAGTTGGACCAGATCGCCTCAGCGTTCTTGGACGCGCTGCAGTTCGCTGGCGGAATTGCGGTGCCCACGGTGATTCAATACGTCCTGGCGCTGACGCACATGAGGGAGGCGACCAAGTGGCCTGTGCTTAAGGAGCTGGAACTCAATGCGGCGAATATTCCCAAGGTCGTCTGGGAAACGTTGCGCCTGTACCCTCCGGTGGGAGCCTTCCCGTACTGGGAGAAGGACGGTAACGGCGATTGGAAGCATGTCGTGCTCAGCGTCTCGAACGCCTTGAGAGACGCGGACGTATGGCCGGACCCTGCAACCTTCAAGTTCCGAGATATGAGTGAGTATGCAACGAAATTCACCGGCTTCGCGGACTTTGCAACGCATGCGCCGAGCGCCAATGGGGGCCTTGGTCCGCACGAGCACGTCTGCCCAGGCAAGCAGCTAGCCGTTGCCATCGTCGAGTCTTTCATTGAGGAATTTTCCAGCACCGGGCGTTGGTATGCGACCAACCCCGCGATCAGCGTCAATGCCTACATGACGGATTCGTACACTTTGACAAAGTCGGACCACACATGCTGGGAAGCTCCCTCCAACTGTCATGCCACGTGGACATACAACGGCAACACCATCCATGGGTGCACTACCCAGGACAGTATCTTTGGGGATGGATGGTGCGCCACCACTAGTGAATACAGCTGGTGGGCGCCGCATAAATATGAATACTGCAAGGCGAAGCTCTGCGATCGCTCACCGTGCTGCTGCAAGTACAGCACCTGTAGCACTGAGGACATCCTGGTGGGCCATGCCAAGGAGAGCCACAATGTCGGGGGCCACAGGTCGGTATGCTGCAAGGCGTACCCGGGGAATGTGGAATGCCCAGGCTACACTCTAGCCTTCGGCTACGGCATTGGCTACCACACGCCGTCCGTGGACGTAGGCTCCGCGGCGGCAGACGGCATGTGCCCAGCGCCCGACTACACACCTCCGCCGTACGCGCCACAGCAGAAGGATACCGATGCGGTGGATGCCACGAAGGCGTGCCAGGGCAGGGGCTCAGCCCAGGAGAAGGCGTCGTGCGTCTGCCAGCGGGCTGAGCAGGCCAGCGCGAGCTTCGCGCTGCTGGTGCGCCGCTGCACGGCCATGACAGCTGTGGTCCAGAACATTGCCTCTCCGTACGGGTGTTCGGTCCAGAGGCCGACGGCGGGCGGGGCGACGACGTGCAAGGCAAAGGCCCCATTGCACCTGCAGCTCGTGGATGGCGCCTCGCAGGCGTGGAATAGCATCGCCTCGTGGGGCAAAGAGACGTTCGTCTCCACCGACCTATGCTTCCCGAACTCGGACGTGTGCTGTGCGCAGGGCATGCTCGGGACTGAGTCTGCCACCTGCCGCACCGTCACCGCGGACACGCTGAGCAGGGATTGGCTGGACTTGCCTCCGCAGCTGCAGGGCGTATCTTAAGGCCTTCGGCTACTGCCGCCAGCCCCCGTTTCCCAGGCTTAAAGAAGCCACATCGTCGCCATCCTCGTCGGCGTCATCCGCCTCCTACTCCCTGTTTCTCCACCACCTGGCCGCCAAAGGGACATCCCGTCTTTTGGCGAGCGCCCCTCCAACCTTTTGGGGCCCCACTTGATTTACCTTTGGCCCTCCCATGCCAACGTGTGGGTCTCCCTGCTGTGATGAACCTGTTTTCCACCACCACCACCACCACCATATGTTGGAGGGGGAGGGGATCCCCCTTCTTCTCCACCTCCTCTTCGTCCTCCTCGTTGTCTTCCTCCTTCTCCCCTCGAACTCATCGTGGTGGTGGAGGAGGAAAACAGGCCCATCATGCTGCTCGTGTGGAACCTCCTGCTGGTCCGCCAGGCCCTTCCTGGAGTTCCCAGGTGCCGGCGGCAGATCCGCTGTCGTGCCAGCGACGCACTCTATGTGGCGACCCCTTCGGGCACAGCTCGGGAGGCCGCTGCATGTGGCACTCCTCGCCTCCACGTGCTGAAGAGCTTCCATCGGGACTCTTTGGGCCGTCTGGGGGCTCTCTTGGGCTCCCGCGGGGCAGTATTGGGGGCCCCTTGGGGCTCTCTTGGGTCGTCTTCGGGACCGCTTGGGTCGCCCTGGGGCTCTCTCGGCCGTCCGTGGAGTCTCTGGGGCCCCTCGTGAGCCCTCTTCTAGGGGCCCTCTTGGACCAGCTTGGGGCTTTCCCTGGGGCCGCCCTGATCCGACCTGGGGCCCCCTTGGGCTTTCGGGTGGGCCCCTGTGGACCCTCGGGGACTGGAGGGGGGGACGGGGGCGAGCTTGGACCTCGAGGAGCGTGGGAAGCGAAAGGCAGTGGAGAACTGGGGCATCACTGTTTTGGCCGCTCGGGGCCCTCTCGGAGGGCGCCCTGGGGGTGCCTTGGGGCATCTGGGGGACTGACTCTCCTTGGGCTTTCCTTGGGGCCGGCTGGGCGCCTCCAGAGGCGGTGTTTTGAGCCATCTTGCTGGCCTTGGCGGCCCTCCTGGGCGGCCCTGGGAGCCTCGGAGAGCTCGGGAGAGCCCCGGGGAGGCGTCGGGCGGCCCAGGGAGAGTCGGGAGAGAGGGCCGGTGCACACAGCGAAGCGCGACAAGAGGGGGTGGCTCTTTGCAGACTAGGAAGGCCCTGCCAGATACGGTGGGGGCGTTGGCTAAGGAATGTGCCCAGGAGGCTTCAGACCCTGACGGGTTCCTTATCTGCTGAGCGCGGCGGTGATATCCATGGCCAATCCACGATCGGAAGTCCACCGGCTTCCAGACCCTGGATTCTTTACCAAAGGGCTCCTTGTCCAATGCCACCATCGTAGCACTCGGCACTCTACCACGCCTCAACGCGCCAGGTTGCAAGATGGCGGAATTCCCCCCGTTGGCGGGCTCTAGGCCAGTGGTGCAAGCTCAAAGCATCGATCCTCCGAACCAACATGTTTTTCCCAACCATCCTGTGGTGTTGGGTCCTCGTTTTGAAGAGACGGTGGCCCGCGTCTCCTCTCCTCCTCTCCTCCCCCTCCCCCTCCTCCCTCCTCCCACCACCCCACGTCCCGCACACCCAATTCGGCACACCCCTCACGCGCTTCGTGGCCCCATAGGGAGCTCCACCGAAGGCCCCAGTACTGCCGCCCGCATGCGTCACGCACACTCAATTCGGCACACCCCTCACGCGCTTCGTGGCCCCATAGGGAGCTCCACCGAAGGCCCCAGTGCTGCCGCCCCGCATGCGTGCCCGCACACCACAATTCGGCACACCCCTCACACGTTTCGTGGCCCCATAGGGAGCTCCACCGAAGGCCCCAGTGCTGCCGCCCGCATGCGTCCCGCACACCCATTCGGCACACCCCTCACACGTTTCGTGGCCCCATAGGGAGCTCCACCGAAGGCCCCAGTGCTGCCGCCCGCATGCGTCCCGCACACCATTCGGCACACCCCTCACACGTTTCGTCAGGGAGCTCCACCGAAGGCCCCAGCTCACGCAATTTCGTGGCCCCAGCTAACTCCGCAACGCACACTCATTCGACAGGCCCCATGCTGTGTGTGCCCGCATGCGTCCCGCACACCCATTTCGGCACACCCCTCACACGTTTCGTGGCCCCATAGGGAGCTCCACCGAAGGCCCCAGTGGGTGTGCCCGCATGCGTCCCGCACACCCATTTCGGCACACCTCTCACGCGTTTCGTGGCCCCATGGGGAGCTCCACCGAAGGTCCCGGTGGGTGTGCCCGCATGCGTCCCGCACACACATGTCGGCACACCCCTCACGCGTTTCGTGACCCCTCACACGCTTCGTGGTCCCATAGGGAGCTCCACCGAAGGTCCCAGTGGGTGTGCCCGCATGCGTCCCGCACACCCATTTCGGCACACCCCTCACACGTTTCGTGGCCCCATACGGAGCTCCACCGAAGGTCCCAGTGGGTGTGCCCGCATGCGTCCCGCACACCCATTTCGGCACACCCCTCACACGTTTCGTGGCCCCATAGGGAGCTCCACCGAAGGTCCCAGTGGGTGTGCCCGCATGCGTCCCGCACACCAATTTCGGCACACCCCTCACACGTTTCGTGGCCCCATAGGGAGCTCCACCGAAGGTCCCAGTGGGTGTGCCCGCATGCGTCCCGCACACCCATTTCGGAACACCCTCACACGTTTCGTGGCCCCATAGGGAGCTCCACCGAAGGTCCCAGTGGGTGTGCCCGCATGCGTCCCGCACACCCATTTCGGCACACCCCTCACACGTTTCGTGGCCCCATAGGGAGCTCCACCGAAGGTCCCAGTGGGTGTGCCCGCATGCGTCCCCACACCCATTTCGGCACACCCCTCACACGTTTCGTGGCCCCATAGGGAGCTCCACCGAAGGTCCCAGTGGGTGTGCCCGCATGCGCCCCGCACACCCATTTCGGCACACCCTTCACACGCTTCGTGGCCCCATGGGGAGCTCCACCGAAGGTCCCAGTGGGTGTGCCCGCATGCGTCCCGCACACCCATTTCGGCAAACCCCTCACACGTTTCGTGGCCCCACAGGGAGCTCCACCGAAGGTCCCAGTGGGTGTGCCCGCATGCGTCCCGCACACCCATTTCGGCACACCCCTCACACGTGTGTGGCCCCATAGGAGCTCCACCGAAGGTCCCAGTGGGGTGTGCCCGCATGCGTCGCGCACACCCATTTCGGCACACCTCTCACGCGTTTCGTGGCCCCATAGGGAGCGCCACCAAAGAAGATATTCACAATTGCAGTGCTCACAATTGCATATGGTTGGGTCCTTCGCCAGGATAATTCTTAAGCATTCCCAGAGGACGTCACAAGTACCCAAATACCCCCCGAAGGCCCTCCAGAGGACCCCCAAAGCGCCCCAAGGCACCCCCAAGAGGCACCCAAGAGCGCCTGAAGATTTCGAAAATGGCAGTTTCGACCGAGATAACCTCGGAAATCCGGCTTCAGAGGGGCAATCGTATCTTTAACCATCGAATCAAAAACTTAACCGTGAAAGAAACTGTGATACGCAGTGGTTTCTACGCCGTGCTTTCTACGCGGTGTGTTCTACGCAGTGTGTTCTAGGCAGTGTGTTTTACGCATTGTGTTCTAGGCAATGTGTTCTACGCAGTCTTGGCAGTGTGTTCTACGCAGTGTTTTCTAGGCAGTGTGTTCTACCGAGTATGTTCTAGGCAGCGTGCTCTACGCAGTATGTCCTACTCAGTTTGCTGTGCGCAGTGTGTTCTACACAGTGTGTTCTACGTTGTGTGGGTTATGCCTGGTGTGTGTCTGTGCGTGTGTTCTACTTGGCGTGTTTCCTGCATGGTATGTGTTCTGCGTTGTGTGCGTGTGTGTTTACGTGTTGTGTGTTCTGCGAGGTGTGTGTGCGCGTGTGTGTGTGTGTTTGTGTTATACGCAGTGCGTCTACGTGATGTGTGTTCTACGTGGTGGGTTATACGCAGTGTGTTCTACGTGGTGGTGTGTGTTCTGCTAGGTGTGTGTACGCGTTTCAAGGGTGTGTGTTATATTCAGTGTGTCTACGTAGTGTGTGTGTGTGTGTCCTGCGTAGTGTGTGTGTGTGTGTGTGTTCTACGTGGTGTGCGTTATACGCAGTGTGTTCTTCGTGGTGTGTAGCCTGCGTGGTGTGTGTTTTGCGTGGTGTTTCTTTTTCGTGGTGTGTATGTGTGCGTGTGTGTTCTACGCGGTGTGTCTTCTACGTGGTGCGTGTGTTCTACGAGGAGCAGGAGAAGGGGGAGCACGAGCAGGAGGAGAAGGAGGAGCAGGAGGAGCACGTGTGCCTTGACTCCGCGTAAGAGCGCCGCAGTGTTGACACCGCGTAAAAGACACCGCGTGGTTCGTAGTTGACACCGCGCTGCCTTGTTGACATCATGACGAGGTGGAGGAGGAGAAAGAGGAGAAGGGGGGATAACGGGGCGGAAATTGAAGAGGAACGGGAGGAGGAGGAGGAGGAGGAGGAGGAGGACGGTGTTGGCACTGTGTTATTGACACTGCGTTGTTGACACCGCGTTGTTGACACCGCGTAGTCGACATTTCGCTGTGGACACCGCGTGGTTGACACCGCGTTGTTTGCACCGCGCAGTTGACACTTCGCCCGCCGTTGACGCCGCGCCGATGCTCAGGAAGCCAAAAAGGAATGACATAAAAAGTGAAGGGGAGGGGGTATACCAAACCACGCATACGGTAAACCACGATGACATTGCAAAGGCGAACAGGACACACAAGGGCTCTCGGAACCAGGGGGGGGTCCTGCCGTTCCCCTGGGTGGGGATTCCGGAACGAGGCTGTACGGACAGAATTTGCAAGGCAAATTTGACTTTTTGCTGTTGACGCTGCGCCGTTGAGGACGAGGAGGAGGAAGAGGGCGCTCGCCATGACACCGCGCAAGGGCGCCACATTGCTGACATCGCGCATCGCGTAAACTACACCGCGTAAACGACACCGTGTGTGTAAGGAGTTGACACCG